AGTGGGCTAGGACACTCTATTGCTGATCAAGTGATGCCGTCATCAATTGATATGGTTTGGTGCCTATCTTCTCTTTATTTCTTTTTATTTGTCACTGATTTTGTGGAGGATCAGTGTGGACAATAACTATGTCAACCTAGTCCAGAACGATGGGCAACTAGATATGGTGATGGGGTTTTCCAGTCATCTGGGTATTTGGGAGCATGAGCAGAAGTGTCTCGATGCATGGCTGGCACGTATTTACCAGCAGTTTGATGAGGTGGAAGCTCAGTGGTTTTAGGCCCTACAGTTTTCAGGCTGGTATGTGGATGTTTCCAATTAGCATTCCTATTTGTCCTCATTAACTGTATAGTGCATGGTTGAAGAAATGGTATATTAGATGTCTGCATAATAGTTCGCATATATGACTGTTTTTTATTTATGTATCTGTGCCAAACCACTTTGGCACGTGACAGCACAGGCACAGAAAGGGTCAGCAGGGCCCCGGGGTGGGAAGGGGAGGGCACGGGAAGGGGGCATACATACCGAGCTTGGGGCTGACAGCCATCGCCTTCATCTGGCAGTTCGTTGGGATTGGCAAGCCAGGCAGAGGGCGATGTGGCGAGGGCATGGGCATGGGCGTGGGCATGAGTGGTGGCTGAGGGTGATGGCATGTGAACAAGGGCAATGACAACATGGGCAAGGGCGTGGGTGGCAGCTGAGAGAGCAAGCAACGGGGTGGGTGAAGGCGTGAGGCATGGATGTTGTGGGCAACAGCAAGAGGTGTCTAAAGGTGGACTGATGTGGGTATCAGTCACACTGAAGCAGCTGAAGCGTGAGAAAAACATACCTAAAGGGTTTTGCATGTCCATGAAGAAATAAGTTGCAATTTTGTTCATGGGACATGTGGGAGGTCATGGAACACAGAGTAGGATCAAAATGTACCTCAAGAAGAGGTTCTTTGATGGCCTCGAGGCCAATGACACCCCATGTAGGGACCGGGATCATTGATCTTGGGAGCAGCACTGCGCATGGCCTGCTAACCTGTGAGCTTCAGGAGTTAGCACACAGGAGCATGGCCATTGGGAACACCAGTCTGTGGCCAAAGAACAGGTGTACCTTGCCTTGCGCATTGTGTACACAGGAAGATGGGCGAGGGGGGGGGTGTGCATGCTAGCATGCACACAAGTACTCTTCCAGTCGTTGGGGCACCTAATTTGCCTCTGGATATGGGTGACAGAAGGTCTCAGAGCATATTTGGCAAATGCTGCACTGCCAGCTGCCAAACTTCACGTGTTGTTTTCAGCCACATCTCACGTGTGGGCGTCTATTTAAAGTTTGCGTGTCTCACGTCAATCTAAAGGTTGCTTTTCAATCACAAAGTCTTCATTGCCCAACTGTGACCAATATTTGATCTCCTCCTCATTGAGTGTCTGTCCTTGATGCTGTTATCTTCAGAAAGCAGGAATCCAATAAGATCCCACAGCTCAGGGGCTTGTTGAGCCATGCCAGTTGCCATGTCCTTGATACAGAAGTGCTCAAGCTTTGCTGCACTTGTGCAAAGGGCACTGAAATGCCAGCCATTCTATGCATCAGTAAGGGCCTGGGCTGACTTATAATATTTCAGCTTCATGGTGGTATGAGCCCAGTGAGTCAAAAGTGCCGAGAAGTGTGGGTGATGCAAAAGGACACTGAGAATCTCAGAAATATTAGCAGCAAAGTCCTCAACAAAGTCATAATGCTTGAAGCAACTGGACATGAGTAGAGCAGAAATGAACTGCACAGGGGCTGACTGATACTCTGCAAAAACATCAAGAAGCTACACAACAACTTTGACATTCATATTGCTTTAACATGTAGAGGCTGTGCATTCTAATGCACCTCAGATGCATTGTGTTCAGGCTTATGTGATTGTCACGAGTTGACACGGCATCTAGCCATCTTTTTAATTTTTCCTTTTCGCAGGCTCGAACCCACGACCTCTGTACTATATGCCTAAAAACAGACATTTCCTTATCTACTGTACGATCAGATTAGATGGGTGGCAGTGCGCGGTACAGCTCGGGCTCCGCTAACACAGCCGCTCTGACTCACCGGCCCCCGGGGCTGCGTCAGCATGCTGTGCATGGACCAGCTGTGCATGGACCAGTGCGCACAGCCTGCCCTTATCTCCCCCTGTATATAAACCTGCCTCTGCTGCCCTAGGGACCTCAGTTTCGACCTCTTGTCCCTAGGTCAGTAAGCCTCTCATGTATTCCTTTTCTTACTTAACTAACTAATACATTTCTTGTTCCTAGCCTTAGGTTTGAGCGTTGCTCACCATCGCTTCGGTGAGACCCAGTCGAACACCCCCAGCCTTCGTGTTTGTTTGTCCTTGTCGCTTGACCCCAAGTCGCGACAGTGATTGTGTTTATTACATAAGATATGTGGGGCATTTTGTGTAGTGCCCACCTGCCCAATTGGGGTGACTGTCCTCTGAGGGCTGCTGTTTACAAATGTTTTGTGCCAGCCATTGTAGGGATGATGATGATGATGACATCAGCATTTATATACCACTACAAGCAAACACAATGGTGCTTAGTGATGTGCAAGGCCCGGCTTAAAGCCCTCAAGCTGGGCCGAGCCAAGCTCTGTGGGCCGAGCCAAGCCAGGCTGGCAGGGTGGTCTATGGTGGCTCAGGGCCCAGCCTGCGATTTGTGAAAGCCGAGGCTGAGCCGTGAGCTGGCGGCTTTGGTATATTATCATATGTAGCAATTGTTGGAGCACGACAATCTGTGCATTGTCTACCACGCTCCAGGACCAGTTGCACAGCATACCCGTGTGTTTCTTATTTTAGTTTTGCTGTTCCACCTTCCTGTGCTATGCCTTACTGTGTCGGTGTGGTGCTCTTTCTGATTCGCCCCGACGCTCACGCTGTCAGTATTGTATCCATCATTACCCGTTATGGTAGCATGTATGTACCTTACTATACCTAGCCCCTAACGGACAATCACTATTTTACCTGAGTGCCTACACCTTGACCCTCAGTCTTTGCTCTCCCGAGCATGCACAGAGGGTAAGTGCAATGTTGTCTGTCATGTTCACATACCATAGCTTACCATATCCTTAGACTGTACTATGCTACAGGTATGCTAATATACATTTAGTCTTTGCTCTCCCAAGTGTGCACTGAGGACTATACTATGCTACAGATCTATGCTCATGCCCCCTGTGGTTGCTACAGCAATATTGTATAGTATTTATGTAAGCATTATATCTAAATATGGAAGCTCATAACTACATGTGATGAGATTCTGGGCAAGATGTCCAGCAGCAAAGGCTTGCTGATACTTTGGATGCAGCAGAACCATCAGTAAACATTATCAATTCAGTATCTCAGGTGCGCTCTTTGAACACTGCTTTGATATGTTACCTACCACTGAGATCGAGCCTCTTCAAGGTGGTCTGGGATACACTACAGAGACAGAGGAGGCTTGAGTTGATGTCTTTGAAATCACAGATAACAGTGGTAAGCTTTATTGCTCGTTCACATAAACACACTTCCTTGCTAACAAGCCACGGCCTGAGCCTGAGCCAGGCCGGGCCAAGCCTGAGCTGTCTACTAAGGCCCGGCCTGATATTTTGGCAAGCCCAAGCCACCTCAAGCCAGGCCGTAGCCCCAGCTTTCAGGCTGAGCCAGGCCTTGCACATCACTAATGGTGCTAAGATGCAGTGGGTACTGCCAGATGGCAGCATCCCTGTTGTGGTGGTGTCTACAGGGTAAGGTAGGAAGATGATGTAGTAATTTACGGGTTTCAGTGGAATAGGTAATGGTGTGAGACAGCATAGGGTGTCAATGTAGAGAGCGAGTCTGTGGGTGACAACGACACAAGAAAAAGTTCAAATCCTCCACTACCCTCGATCACTTCCTCTGAAACATTTATCTTTCCATTCTATTTCTTGTACTACTAGCGCCCATACTGGCACCCGTCTTAGCGCTCACCCGCGGGTTGAACATTATGTAGCTTACATAATGGGGTCCATGCGCACTTCGTGCCTGGTATCGTACCACTACGTTTCCTTCTTTACTAACACGACCACACAGATACAGTGGTCCGTGCGTAGATGGTACTTGTATAAGTAGTTGTACCATTAGTCGGTCGAACCCTAAGTTCGACCTAGCTATTCATTCAAGTCTCTGCTCCTCCTTGCTTGGGGTAGTGGTCATTCTCGACTTCCTCGCTCGATCTTCAGGACGACATACTGTCCATAAGTCCTCGCTCATCATCTACGAGTCAGGCATCGATATAGGAGTATAGACCATTGTATCAAAAGGTCGAACTTTCTAAGCTATGTTCCTAGTTTTACCTAGTTGAACATCTCATCCACCATTACGTCAAACAACGCAGTCAACCCAGTTCCTTTGGGACTACCAGCCCTCGCGGGATCACCTCTCCTCCAGTACGACTGAGCAGACTGCTGCTTTGTCACCTCCACAAAAAGGGCTCCCATCTACCCTTGAGGTGGCACCTGGTGTCGTACAACCGGTCCAAACCCACAGGTCGTCACCCATCAAGAACCTGTTAGCTACTACCAGAGACACCCACCTGCTCACCCAGAAGATGTATTCACCATTCTACGAATCGATGTTGAACCCATACAAACAGCAGAAAGCGCACAGTCACCCACCAGTGAACAACCACTCGAACTCCCTGAAGTTCAGTATGTCCCCATCGAGATCCCAGACATCGAACTACCACCAGCTCCACCCGCACCAACCAACGCACTGGTTGAAGTCCCTATGGCAACATTCACTCAAGAAGACATTGATCAGCGCATTGCTGTTGCCCTTGCAGCATACCAATCCCAGCAGTCAACGGCCAACCGACCCCTTCGCCTCGACATCCCCGCTCCCGAACCCTTCAGTGGAAAGGCAGAGGACCTCAGACGCTTCATCCAATACGTCCTCTCCTACTTTGTCGCCACCAACAACACCCGACTCAGCGATGAAGCAAAGATCGCCTTCACTGTAGCGCTGATGAAGAAGGATCTGGGGAAGACATGGGCGGACGCGTACTACGAGAAGTCGGCAGGGGGAGTCCAGGTCTATTCCACATGGGCAAACTTCGTCGCCGCCCTAGAAGAGGTGTTCCCTGAGCACGGAACACGAATCAAGGCACATCAAATCCTGATGAAACTGCCTGAACGACAGAGGGATAGGAAGACGGCACTCTCCCTCGGTAACTACGTCACCCACTTCGAGCAGCTGGCATCGAAGGCTCAGCTCAAGGACACCGAGGTCAATGGCACCAACCGCGTTGAGAACGACTACCACACTCTCCACGCCAACTTCGTCAAGGGACTCCCGAAGGAGCTGTATTTTGCTCTTGCAACAAGGGTCGCTAGGGATCGACCCAACACCATGAAGGCCTGGTACGACGAAGTTCGAAACACCGACACAGCCAAGCAGGGGGCTCTCGTCGTCACAGACACCAGGGACTATGGCGAACCAATGGATATCGACGCTGCTGCCGTCGCATCAACCTTCGCCTCCACATCAGGAGGAAGAAAATGGGAACTAGGAGCTGTTCTCAACGAGGCCGATCGGAAGCTCCACAGGGACGGGAACCTGTGCTTCTACTACCACATCAAGGGTCACAGCGCCAAGGATTGCCGCAAGAAAGCGGCCGCATGACAAGGGGGTGGGAGGCCGAACCAGGGAGGATCTGGGAAGGACGACTTCCGTGCCAGAATCAAGACACTCTCCGCCGACGAGAAGTGGGAGCTGTACGAAGAACTTACGATGGAGGATTTTTAAAGGGGCAGGGTGAGCCAACGCAACCACTGCCCATATCCATTTCACTGTCCCGTGTAATTTTAGTAGTCCGAAATGAACGCGCTCTGCACATTCCGATTACTGTGGGACGAAAAGACGTCGAGGCGCGCGCTTTCATCGATAGCGGCGCAACAGGAATCTTCATCAGCCCAAGATTCGTCCGAGAGCATCGACTTCGGACAGAGCCCCTTCCCCGACCCATCCCCGTCTTCAACGTGGATGGAACTCCGAACAAGGAAGCACTCATCACGCGAAGAGCCCTCTTATCTTACAAGATAAGCGGAGAACCCCGATTTGTCAAAGCCTACGTCGCCAGCATCGGCAAAGAAGACATCATCTTCGGCCATACCTGGCTCAAGCTCGAAAACCCCAAGATAGACTGGAAGACCGGACGAGTT